TTTAGTAAAACGGAACAGTTAATTTTACCAAAAAATATGGAAACAACGACATTTTTCGTCTGGACTGAAAAGCTATCCCGTTACATTTGAGAATTTTCCATTTTTGTGAGATTTAGCTCATGTACGGGCATGAATCTGAAATGTCATCGTTTAGGGTCTCTTTATAAATAAAATATTATAGAGGGCGACGAGCTTAAATTAACATCTGGATTATTATCCATTATTAGCTATCCCCATATAGCCTCGTATAACAAATTACTACTTTGGTGTGTTTATTTACAAAATGAGAACTACTTCTCTATGAAGTCGGTAATTTAAACCGAACGTAATTATACGACTGCACCGCGTTTTCAAATACCCTTGGTCAAACTGCAAGCTCAAGCGCGCACTGCTTGTTTTGCGTTCATTCAGCCAGCAAGCAGAACAGCAAAAAAGGCGACAAACGAAAGATAATTGCATTTTTAAAGAGATTGGGTCGACCGCATCAGTGCACTCCACCTGGTTTATAATTCGACCTAAACGGGAATTAAATTCTTTTATGGGGGGCGGTTTCAGTAATATCTGGGGAATATACTCTTCTACATAGCGCGGGCCGGAAACTTAATTAACGGAATTTTAACTTCATGCAGAGAACGCAAGACGTACGCTCCGACGAGCGCTAATTTGTAGAAGCGTTTAAATGTAAACGTCGAGAAAATGGCGAGAATTATGTTATCGGTTTACTTATGCAGGGCGGTAGCGGGAAATTTTTGCGGCGGCGGCGTTTGAGACGATTGCAGCTAAAGCACAAAATTGCCGTACTGCCTGCATTCCCAAAGTGTACGTTACGGAATAATGCAATTAAATTTTTAAACCGCAATTTACAAACGTTTAATGTACATTTTACACAACATAAAATTTCACATTTGAGATTCTTAACGTGAATTAGGATACATAGCAAGCTTAATTTAGGGAAAGTAGTAGCTGTGGCAAGAAATGAATATACCATCAAATTGCATGATGTTGCTGAACATAAGGGGTGACAGAACGACGTGTAATGCTATTTTAGTAGTGCTATAACATACCTACCGCACTATGACTGCAATAGTAGGTAATTACTTATGTATTCGCGTTATGTTCGCGTAAAAATAGTCTCTATTTATCTTAGTGAAGTTCAATCATACTAATTCCGTTCAAAGAACACCGTTGCCTGCGGTAAGAACAATTTTTTAAAGAACAAACGATCAAGCAATTCTATAAGTTAACAAATAATATTATGTTTTACACAGTTTTCTATTTACAAATTAGGATTCGCGGCCACGGCCTTTTAAACTTACTTTAATTGAAACTCAAATCTAATACCTATACAGTAAAATTTCGTATATAAAAAACACACTTTATAAATATTCATAACGAACCATTCACTAGGAGCTACTCTATCTTGCAATTAAAGTAATGTTAAATGAACAATAGACGAATTAGTTATAACTCCCATGTTCTCCAAAATATATGCAATACAAACGGCTTGAAATTGTCTGGAGATCGATATCTTTAAGAACATTTAATTTCAAAATTTACTTGAGATTTTTTTAACAACGATTTTGATATACAACCTCTATTTTTACACAACTTATTTTTACATAAATAAAATAGCGGTATCTTATATAAAAAATGCCCCTTTGTGTATGACGATGATGACATACAACAGATTAATGGCGGTTGTTCCTGGCTTATACATCGCTTTGTCAATTGATAGAGACTGTAAAATGGATATTTCCGTCGGATACCTTTTCTTTTATGAATTTGTCAGGGAGTCTCTGTTCACTCTATGACATTTTTTCGAACGTTAACCTCCATTATTTATAAATTGCAAGCAAGCAAAATTCTTGTATATATTAACGCTTGCTATTGTTGGGTTTTATAAATTATTCGGACCTTTTCCACCACCAAAAGGAGAATATTCCATAAATTCTAAATTTTACACATTACTTGTCATGAATGTTTTCTGGATACAGGTGTTGAGAACAAATTTAGTATTACTATACAGCTCAGTCTCGTTTTTGCTACACTGCATTTTTTTAACTAACTCTTTATAGCTAAGAAAGTATACTGGCGCGCATAATTAGTTTGTCCTTGGTTGAGCCAACGTCCGATAAGCCTTTTACAAAGCGCTTTTCAAACAAGACCTAGAATAATGTTAAAAATGTAAATGTACAGAACCTTTATTGCTTTGCTTTGCTTGATGCTTTTCTTTTCCACTTTGTAAAATGAGAAATACGTAAATGTTCATTTTTAAGAGTAGCTTAGGTTTTGCGATACAGCAACTTTCTCTCATCTTATTTTATTTATTGAAAGCTTTGCTTTTGATTTTTTCGCACACAGATTGCAATAATGGCGCTCCATAAAAACAAGGTGACACCCTAGTTATCGTACTGTAGCGTTTTATTACATAATACAGAAATAGGAACTATTTTTATTTTGAAACATGAACAGAACGAATCAATTCTTAATTATTAAATTTTTATCACCTAGACAACAACTTATATTGTTTTCCTAGGATGTACCGATTGGCGTTAATGGTCGCCACAGTACCAATACCTCAAATTTACAAATTTTAAACGTCCTTACACGACTCTTATGGACTAGGAGGCTATTTAAAGCTCTTAAAATCCTCTTGCAGACTCTTTCAAGTTACTGAAACCCCTTTGCCGTCCTTAAGGGTTCTAACTACCCATGAAAGTTTTTAAAAGGTTTTGTCGATTTAAAAGCTCTATTCGTAGTACGCTCCTTAAACAGAAAACACGTTGAAACTCTACAGACATTTAAAGACTCAAGGATTCGTAACGGTTTTTATAGATTTTAAACAACTCTTGGCATTGAAAACTCTTCGAAGCTCACTTGGAGACCTGCTTTTGTGAGTTTCTCCAGCCTCTTCAGTGCGCCCTCAAAACATATACATTATACAATCGTGATTCTCTTGAAGGCCGGTTCATAAACCTCTTCTCACTCCTCACTTACGCAAGCAAGATATCCCCTTCATCAAGTCCATCCCAAGACCATGTCACGTAACCAGGGAAATCCCAACGCCACAATCCTGTCACGCAAGGGGCAACCCATTACCATGACCTCGTAACTTCACATGACAGCGTGGTCATGGCTATTGGTCACTTCAGGCCATGAGCTTTGGAATACCCAAAGCCATGCCCATCATCCTATGACGTGCACATAATCCAAGATGGAGGGTGGTACCTCTTTTCTACTATCGTGTGCATTTCCCTAAACGATCGAAGTTTTGTTAAAAAAGTGTTCGAACAAAATAATTTTGTTGCCCTTTACCCAAGATCAAACGTTTTCATCCGAGAAAAAATCGTTCACTCCCCAAAAACTGTAAAAAGCCATCATTACGTACTAGTCAAGACCGACTTCTTTAAGGACTCGCTCATGGAATTTCTAATCAAGCTTCTGCGTGGTACGGATTCGTCATGTTGCAAGTCACATAAGATCCTTACGGCATCGCTAAAAATCTCAATGAACTGTTCATAGGCCAAGGAACGAATGACAATAATCTCCCCAAGGAAATGTCCAATTTATTGCGAATAAACAAACATAAGTTTTGGTTTTTTTTATTAACAGCAGATTTTAAGATCTCACTCACAATTTGGAGGGAAAATTTCACAACAATCCTGATGTATGACATTCCTAAAATATTCTGGATGTTAGGCCTCCATAATGTTTTTTAGAGATGCCTCTGCAGAAAGTCTTAAGTTGTTTTATACTACTCCGGTATTTCCCTTACAAATTAGGAAAACTGCAGGAAAAACTAATTCGGTGTAACCGGAAGAATGCTCTAAACTGGTCTAAGGTAATTCCCATCTCTGCCACAGATGAAAAATTCACCTCAATCCAGGTTCGAACACCCGACCTCCGGATTTATAGCCCAACGCTTTACCACTGAACCATAAAGCTATTATCGCACAATGCAATATCCAACGACGTCAGTCAACTTTAAGGAACTCTGATCCGAAAAAAACTTCTTTGTTTATCACAATGAGTTTAACATCAGTTTATTTGATTCCGTTTTTTATTTGAAAAGCGGTTGCCCGATTCGAAAATGTTTCCTCGCGTATATTTCACCACTCGTGGTCTTGCAAAGAATCAGGCTGCTAATAAGATTTTTCGTCCCGGAATCTACTGTACCTAATTCGTTTATTCGGACACATAACATTGCAAGTAATGTTTCTCAAATTCGAGGTACTCAAAATGAAGGAGTTCTCGTTACTTAGGTAATGTTTTCACCCAAAGTTAAATTGCTAACTCTACTACTATTCGGACAGATTTCACTCCAGTTCCCGACATACACGCAACGCCGCTAAAAATGTCGACCGCGAATCAATTTATTTGGTCACTCTTGAAGTTAAACGCAAACCTTTGGTTTTTACTTGAAATAAATCAAGAATAGTATTACCCAGCGTACCCGAATTGATACGTGCTCGCTCCCGAAAATCAGTTTAGAATTATCGCTCTCCCACTTCTTTCGCTTTGAATCTCGCCCGTTAGAAAAACCGAAACGGGCAACCTCGACTGACGTGCCCTAAGAACCAATAGAAAACCCGCATTTCGGTCGGTTGAAATGGACTGAACGCAACTTTTAGGTTCGAAGATATTGTGGTAATCGCGCTCGCTTTCCCAATACGTATCTTGTTATCGCCAGATACACTTTTGCTCACGTTCACTATGAACCGGTATATTGTATAAATTTTACTTAAACCATTTGCTATAATTCACCTGTACGTATTTCCGTCATTTCCAGTTTACGCATTGGAAATAGCAGTGGGGATATCCTGTATGGAAAATTTTTCAATTCGGTAGAACCGGGGGGGGGGGGGGGGGGGGAGCGGGAGGATTTCGTTAAAAAACGCAGAATAAGAAAAATTGTCACGTTAATGTTTGTTTTTTTTACTGCAAATTTAGAAATTGTTGAAGTCTCAGTTGTTTGTACGGGTGATTCATTAGAACTGAGGACAGTTTGAATGTCCCGCAAAACTAAAAATTTTAAAGGTTGGTAATAACAGAATATCATTTGTCTAATTCCAGTGGTGTATGTAGAATCACTTTCCAAGGGTAATAATTTATTTTTAATTTACAAATAAGTCTCCCATTTTACAACAAATTTTACATTTGCACTAAGCACAGTCACGATATTAAAATTGTATTAAATGAACTATAAAAATTGCTCAAAATGTCCACCATTGTGTTCACGGCACAATTCCTCTCTACGCTTCATATTGTCAAACACTTTCTCCAGAGTTTCAGGTGAAATTCTTTCTAGTTCCTCAATAATTGCTGCTCGTAGTTCATCAAGAGTATGTTGAATAAGACACTCCTGTAATTCGAAAATAAAGTTAGTAGGTATAAATTCATTCTACGTGTACCACTTACCAGCTTGGGCACTTAACTGACGGATTGACTTTTTGGGACTCGCCTCCATTCGTTGTCTGACATCTTGGACCACTTCATCGTTTCGTAGTAATGGACGACCGGTATGTTTTTCTTTACAAATGCAATTCTTGTTTTCAAATCGGTCCACAATTCGTGTCTTATGATTGGCAAATGCTTTATAAGAAATAATAACATCGGGATACTCTTCCATAAATTGCTCTCGACAGGACCGGAACGAATATGACCACGTTCCATCTTCATTACGTACAGCACTTCCAAAATGAGCCTTCAAAATAAAGGCATCTTGTTCTTGTGTGAAGGGCATCCTCAAGAACCTACAAATGCAAATTAGTGTGATTTAACCGTTACTTAAATTACTTACTTCAACAAACTCTTGAATTTACAGCGTAGCTCTGAAAAGAACTGTTTTTAAGAACGTTGATAATACAGTTTGCAAAAGTAAATTAAAAACAACAACAAATTAACGAAATAACGACGGCACTGGTGACTAATATGAAGTAGTAAAATAACTAAAAATATATCATCGCCAATTCAATCACGTAAAAAACACTAGAATTGTACGCGCGAAATTCAAACTGTCCTCAGTTCTAATGATTCACCCGGTATTTGTTGTATATGCTGAGATCATAAATCTTAGAACACATATTAAGCGAATATTTAATTGCAATTTCGACGATCTGGCCAGTTGTTGTGCAAAGGCGTTATCGGCCAAATTAATTGGCTTTATTTTACTAACAACGCTAAGTGCGAGATAACGAAGGCAGGTGTTTAGCAATACGAGCGACGAAGCCGTGTTTCGAGAATCACTGGGAAACAACGGTATGGAACGGATGAGTGAAGGTGGTTTGATCTTTCAGTACGAAAAATGAGACAAGGCGGATGTCTCGCCGTAATGCTGTTTACAGGTCCATTTTCAAAAAAAGCGCATGGCATTGTTGCAAGGCAAGTTTTCGTCGATTACGTTTAAAACTTACACCTTCGGTATGAATTGAAGTACCTGGTGTTCTTTTCTGTAGACACTATCTATGTAGTCTCCACGAAGGTATGATACGCGATGTTCTTTGCTAATACTGAACGGTGGTATACAGAACTGGTGTGGAAACGGCTTGCGACTGGTAGACCGTCTTTCACGTAATAAATAATCTGGAGACGTATCTTCATGAATCCGAAATGACTTCTGCAGTTGGTCGCATACTGAAGATGTCGAATTTTCCCTTCGGAAAATGATCGGAGGGCGGCAGATTAGATCAAATAAGATTAAGATGAGTATTGATTGCAGTTCCTAGATTGAGTTTCTCTTTTCCCAGGTTGGAGTCTTGAAAGAGGGGTTTTTAAGTGAGCAAAACGAAAAATGACATAGGTAATTTGAACTTTAAAATACTAAAAATAAGAAAAGCAACAGTAAACACTAAATAGAAAATGTTCTCACATCGCCTTTAAATGCTAACTTGCTATACTATAAACTATAGTACTGTTGAGGGCCCAGAACAAGAGAGGGATAATAAATAAATAAATAAATAAATAAATAAATAAATAAATAAATAAATAAATAAATAAATAAATAATAAATAATAAATAAATTAATTAATAAATAAATAACATAAATAAATAAATAAATAAATAAATAAATAAATAAATAAATAAATAAATAAATAAATAAATAAATAAATAAATAAATAAATAAATAAATACATAAATAAATAAAAACTTAACTTTTAAAAACATAAATACAAGACTGACGAAATTATAAACTACGAGTAGTACCTGGATTCGTTCCAGCTTTTAAAATCAGGAACTAAACACATGAAATGCTCTACTCTAGAGACAGGAGACGAATATGGCGTCAAAATTGTGAAGTTGTGACTATTGGATTCGTAGGCAATCAAATTTTAGTTAGTTTTAGAGAATTTTACTTAGGATTCCTAGAGTATGCGGTTTTTATTGATTTGTTGTATAATGACGATTCAAGTCGTTCCCAAAAAACTTCGATTTAAATACCTATAGAAAGAAAATCGGTTTCGAAGTATAATTTCAGATGGAAATAGACAAAGCGGTGTGAAATTACTTTGAAACAAAGGATAACACTTTTAGCATGAAATCCCGTTCGGCATCATCCCCGAGATACCAATGAAGTTAGTGATGAGAAATGGTGGAAGTCTCCAGTCAATTTATTGGCCAACCAACCAGAATCTAATCGAGCGAATTGGGTTAGTGATATGAAATTATCGGGTCTTTGCGAACTCTGTGAGTCTCGATGATAAGGCGGTTCATTGGTTCGGCAAACAAAAATTGTGTTACTGTCCAACATAGGAGAAGAAAACAATAAAACGACGGTTTGCGTTCCTATTTCAATTTCCGGACAAATTTTTAAGTCGATCCGAGACGTTTAAACGCAATTTTTTTCAGACTACGGAAAGGTATTCTTTTTTATTGTTGCGAATTCGATTTCGTTTCGCATTATTTCTATTACGCCCGCATCGGTAGACAAAATTCAGGACGTCGGTTATAGTCACGACTGTTAAATTTTTAACAGCGCCACGAAAAATACGGTAAACCCTAATTTTCATTTTAATGAGTTTGCCATTGAATTTTGGATACCGAAACGTAAAGCATTCGGCAATCTCGGTCTTGTATAATACACATTTCGTTAAACAACCGATTTTTAAATTGCTCGTTAAATTACGAGTTGACTCCATTATGAGAGCCGAAAGGATCGTTAACGTAGTTACATTTTAGCCTGATTAACAAAGTAGGTGGATGGGATATTATAAAAATGTTCCTCCGAAATTATAAAGCAGAATAATTTTGGTAGGTATTTATTGAGGTTAATGCCATCTCGTCTAATATTTGCTCGACGTCTTGTTTGCGTACGCCATGCCGAAATATTGCACGATAGCACGCGCGTAAAAAGTTAAAAATAAGTTTATTAAAATCAATTAATCTTAATTATGTCGCGATGAAAACACCCGCTCACGCAAATGGCGGGGAAAATGTATGTGAAGAGGCGTGCATAATAGTTATTGCATGTGCATTTTTAAACTGTTTTTGAGCACCCCTTACTATAGTTGGTGTGAATTAAATTAAGAGTACATCCCTATTTGTAATTTTATTTGCAAGTCACTGGAATACGACGTTTGTTTTCGGAGATATTATCCCCATTAGCTCAAATCCGCATATCTTGATCATTAGTAGCTTTAAGCTCCGGTAACTCAAAAACGCTTTGACATATAAAATTTAAATTTGGTAGGTGGATAGGCTATAACATATAACATATAACTTATTACACTTTGGACTTCAGGAGTTAACTACGTATGTCAGTGTCTTGGGTCAAATGTATTTTGGTCAGCAACACATGATATGCGTTACATTTACACAACACAATCAAAATTGTATTCATCAATAAACAATTAAGCCGCTGCAAATAAATAAAGGCATACGGAGTCGAGACAAAGTATCACGCAACAATGCGATCGATTCAAGCATGTTAAATAAAGGCCAAATTACTTTGATACTGCCAATAATCCAACAATCCAGTCTTGGGATGTACGCCGGAAGCACGGCGGCGGCCCCGGCTTCATATAAACGACAAAAGAGCAACCGCCTAAAACGCACGGCGGTCAGAGGCAAGCGACCAAAAGGTAACCAACCACGCAACAAGACCTCCTATTCTACCTAAACCATGTCTCGCTCTGGTTCCACTTCCTAATTCTATTGCTAAGATACGCAAAATTCTCTTATCTCAACGCCCATCTGCGATAACACAACATTTTCTTACAAAATTAATTAATTTTAAGCGATAAGCGACTCTTATCTACGAAAGGAGAAAAAGGAATGAGATAAACTTACCATGGCACAAATAATTTTCCTTATCTTTATTAAGTAAACAAGACAAACAATACGACCACAAACAATAACTTAGACATCGTCCAAGCTGATGTAACTTTCCACAACGAAATTTAACCGTGTAGGGGCGGAAAAGAACAATCCTATTGCGTGTTGTGAAAGGCGACTAAACAACGGGCAGTCAGCCCCAAACCCAGCCCTACAATTTTGCAGAGTGTATGTGGTTTGACAAGGTTTTACCGATTGTGGCTCCTTTCCCAATTTGTAAAATTTAATCTAATACCATGGGGCAAACTCGAGAACTAATTTACAGCTTTGGAACTATGTTTCGAAAAGTACTTGAGGTTTCGCGATATTTAAGGATTTTGTGTAGTAGTAATTATGGGATACAGGTTCCATTTGTATGTTCTTAAGATCACGCTGCTTCACAGTAATTAGTGTAACACTAGAGTGATTCCTGTCCCCGTTTCAAGTTCGGTAGCTAGGAAAGCGCGTCTTTAAGTACAATTTTTTTTACAGAGTTTCGTTCTTTCCAAGGTCTTTCCTGACGCTTCTATAATTGTAAAACAATTGTTAAAGAAATAGATATTATTATTATTATTATTGTCGGTGTTTCTTGTGAGAACTCAGGTCTAGCCTGGTTAACTAATCGCACGGATTAAAATCAAGTAACGATTAGTGTCTGTGTCTGTGTCTGGTGAAGTTATGTAGGGTTCTAAAGAAAAATAAAAATAAAATAAATATTCACACACTCACATTGGAAATATTATTATTATTATTATTATTATTATTAATGTATGAGTGCTATAGTGTGAAGAACACATGAGTTAATTTTGGTAGTTTTGGGGGTTATGCGAATTTTTTTGGATTAAGTATTACTACTGCTGTGACCCTAACTTCGGGACGCATAAGAAAAAGGTACGGAACAACAAAATTACTCACAATTAAGCATGAGACATTTATCTGGATCGTTAAAGGGGTTCGAATAAACACACGACTTACATGAATCAACACAGACAAAATTTATTTTAAACACACATATCAAATTAAAGCCCAAATTCTAGCAAACAAATTAATGAAATATGCAAAAACCACTAATTGCAACTGAGGACAAACGCACTCCGAAACACCGATGAAACGATGGTTGTTCGAAACAGTAGACCAACACTTCAATGAGGCTGCTAACCCTAACTTTTACTTCTTCTCAAACTCTAAACTCGGCTGATTTCTCGAGATGAAAACAACTTTGCGTACGCTTAAAAAGGGAAACTTGCCACAGAACTTAGCACAGAACGCGCGTCTTCTAAACTTTCAAGGAACAGCACCCCGGCCTAGAAAATTGGCAAAATGCCCACTTCTTACACCAACCTCAGTATTTAAAGTCTCTCTTCTCCTTTCCTAAATTCTAAGCTAATTAACGGACGCGTAGCAACACACAACCAATCGCGCATCCGTTCCTCGTGCCTCCTTAACATCACTTATCAAAATTGTACACGAAATTCTCTTATTTTCATAACATTTTTCTACGAAAAACACGCAGTTTTACCCATAAATTACATCAACCTTTCAACAAAAGTAATAAAAATGCCCACAAATTCATACAGAAGTGACTTAAATAATTTGGAAAGCAAAATTGATAACAAAAATAAACCATAAATTGCCCTGCATTTAATAATTCTAGGAATTACTCTTTCACAAAGAAAGACAAACATCTTGGATACAACTAGAAACGCAATACTCGAGGATTGTATTTAAATCGAGTAAATTTGTATTGATAAAATTCAAATCGGTTTCCTTTAGCAATTTTATTTGAAAAAAAAAATTAGAACAGTTAGTACTTCGAGTTGAAGGACCCAGTCAATTAGTTTACTGTTTGAATAACGTAACCATATTTTTGTATTCAAAACAAACCGACCCCCTTAAGGGTGTTGAAAAGTTAGTTTTTGTCATTTAAATGGAGTCAGTTAAATGAGTAAGTTCGCATATCGGCTTAGCGTTTATATTAATACCGCATATGAGGTTATATACATCTATGCCGTTCTAATACATATACATGATATTTGGGTTAGAGAGCAAGTGGGTGCCTAGGATTAGGAACCTTGGGCGGTGAACTAAGAATGTTGTTCCACGTTATAGGCGTTTTAAATGAAGGCTGCTGCGTCAAAGAGGGATAACAGCAGGTAAAGACACGCTTGTGAAGGTATGCACAACATCCACCTAAAAGCGCCAAGCCAGCGCATTAAAGAGCTTGAAATTCTCTCATTCAAACCAGGATAAAGTGATTAATTTCACTTGAATCCGCCGGTACGGTAGAAACTCATCTATGGCGTCGCTCTTCAATCAATAAGATATTGGTGGACCTACCCAATGAATTTTCCTTGTGCAATTGAGAAAATCCCAAAAGTCGGCGGTTTCCACGGAAGATCGACGTAGAAAGCACAATCCGGTAGGTAATAATGAAGAAAAGGGTAGACCAGAAGTAAGAAGCCTAAAAATGATTACTCAAAGTCAAAATGTAAGGCGTAATCTATTATTAACATACCAAAAACGGCCTTAGAACTTGTATAATATGTCCAAAATGCGTCAGCGAAGCGTCGAACGTAAAGTAGTAGGAGAAGAATTTCACTAAACTTATACAGGCACACAAGTAATGATCAAATCTCGTCTTTGTACATAGAAGAAGTGCGTGCGCCAAATAAATTAAAGAAAACTGCATGACCTCGGACGGCGACACAAATAACTATTGTAATAAGAAATCTATAATAGCGAAAACAAACAACTAAGGTAGTGAGAAATCTACTACAGAAATTAACTTACACCTAAAACTAGTGGATTACAAAGAAGATACCTAGATGGCGTAAGAATAGCAAGTGAAACATTAGCGTAAGAATTCGATTCGATTCGCTTAACTTGCATTGGAATTGTTTAAGCGGTAGTCCTCTATTATTAGACTCAATTCATACGCGAAAGAATCCAAGTTTTATATGAGGAAAGTAGTACCAAACGCCAATTCATTAATTTTGATTTTCTCTTTACTCTCTTTTTTAACATCAGTAACAGTCACTCTGGTTGCGTCGCGTGCTAATGAAAGAATCTCTCCAAAGGTCTCTTGGAATGACTACCACATAATCTTACTTAATTAATGACCCACAAAATGGCGAATTATCAATTCAGTCAGCCATGTCGAATCATTAATTTGCCACTGCTTTGCTGCACTCCCAATTACAGGTTATTTAGGGTTGGTAATAAACATCCCACACGAATTAAAAAATGCAAAATTGACACTACCCTTAAAATCTCAAAAGTTCTAACTTCACAACGGAATTTCGAAAAAAAATTAATTGCAAATTTAGAGCTCCCGTTACACAAGTGAATTATGTACTTTCATTTTGGAAATCACGATGTGTTCGATCGAGTAGCAACAACAATGGAATTTTAGAAACAACATTCCGAATGTGTGATAGGCAAACGATAAAAGATTCAAGTACAACTTTCTAATTGAACTAACATCCCCCAATCTAATATACCTTGAGGGTGTAAAAATTATTACATTAAAATCAGCATATAAATTAATGCACATTAGTGAGTAATGAGGGTAAAATTTCATAGGGACGGATGTTGGGAAAAATGAAATTTAATTGACGTGCACAGGATGCCACAATTTAAAATCAAATTTACTTTTTGCGAGATGTTTGCAACCGAATTTTGACACATATCATTAGCACCGTTTTAATTCGAACCCGCAAACCTAATTTTTCAACTTTAACGCACCGCACCACCCCCCTGACGAGTTTATTTTTCGGTTTTAATTCGATGAATGGCATCGAATCTAATAATAAATTTGCACGTATTGATCCGCTGGGCGGGCGGCGGCGGGGGCGGCTCAGTTGAAATTAGAATGCTAAATTATTAAAAAATTTCGGCATTGCTAAGCAACCGGGGATGGTGAACCAACTAAAAAATTTACGTCAACACCAACCCACGTTAAATCAAACTTTGCCCTAATCTCATACAAAACGTATGAAAATTAAACACGTCATATTATTAAATTCCAGAAACCGTCTCGGAGGCACACATGACATCATAAACAATCATATATTCATGAGGTGGTAGACTGTAAAGTATTAAAGCGGTGACGCAGCAATGCAGGTTATATTGTGGTGCTCTCCCTCCAGCGCATTTACACGCTATCTTAGAAAATGACAGGAGAGGCATAACTTATTTTCTAGTCACAAAAAATCTGCCTATAAACGGAGGGTAATAGTGTAATATTGTCCTTGTCACGCCATAAAAGTTTTTACAAGAGGATTTTCTCTTCCCCCTTTATTGTCGCATGAATACCGTTTTATTGAATTCTCCGTTTCCGGTCCTTTGCAATTTTAATTACCGTTACAAATATTTAGGCGATCAAATAAAATTATCAAGTTGCCATACGATGAGCTGTTCAATAAGGGAATCTCATTCAGAGGGGCGCCTTAATAAATAATGTCAATTATAAGAGTGAGCCGGAAGCTAAAAACTGTTTCGGGCGTCTTTTGTATTCCTTAGGGATTATCTTTACAGAAAGGGAAATATCATGACCATGCATAACATTATTTTAATCTCCTCCGGCAATAAATTGCCTTTGGAAGTTAAATTTTGATAAATTACAGTTACGGTTGTTAACTTTGCTTAATTAATTGTGTATGCATAACTGACAGGAATTGAAAAATGGTAACACGTCTTTTTCTTTTGCAGGGATTTCGATGCATAAGGGATACGCTTTTGTGCAGTTTACCAATCCGTTTGACGCGAGAAGTGCCTGCTTGGGCGAAGATGGAAGGACTGTCCTTAGCCAAATTCTAGGTAAGTTCGATTGCCAGTTGTTGTCAATTGTGAACCCTTCATGGGGATGTCGGCCGAGCAACCCCAAGTTGCACAAGTGCTTTTATGACATCTAACATCTGTCGCTTGGCCGATTTAGTGTATGAATGACTGTATAAAGGATGTAACTTCTGAGGGTTGACATTTTTATTAGGGGCCATCCATTTATAGTACTTTATATGCAAGAATATGTTTAGCATATTTTTCATTAACAAAATTAAAGTATGCAATTATGCATGCGTGATCTTGAATCTTGAAAATTTTATACCAGCAAAGGGATGAAAACAAAAAATTCAATCGTCAAATCGTTCTGGTAGTATAATAAATAATAATTATATCCCACGAAAGTTTTGCACAATTTATGACACCAGAATCATACAACTGTTTATATTAGAGTGTGTTGCGGCACTATTTTTAGGTCTCTTTTTATCAGAGCTATACGAAATAGGTTAAAGTAGCTAATTGTGCTGGTTCAATTTGAATTTGTGCTGATCTAGAAAATCAGTTTTCCTTGAATTGCAACACTGAAACCAATTTGACTATAAGCAACGGCACAATCCACTATGTAATGAGCACAACTCGTCAAAGTAGTAGTGCAATTTGTACCTTAAAAAAAAGAATCAGCACAAATGAATAAAATGGGATCAGCACAATGTAACCATCTATTATTTTATTTATTTTTTATTATTATAAATAAACACCACAATCAGACAAATTCCCACAGTCTCATAGACAAACACCCCTGCAAACACCTAATCATAACTGAAAAAAAAAACTCCTGCTGGCCAGATTATTTAACCTAATAAACAATATAATGATTAGATCTACGCAAACAATTCTAAATAATCAAATCTAGATTATCTAATAGGCGCTCTTTCAATACGCATGAAAATGTACGCGACTCCGTAGTTTAATGGCGATTCACCAATATTCATCATTTAAAAAAACGCAAGTAATGCAAATAGTGCCTTATCACTATTGAAGTCGGCATCGTTGATAACCTCACTGGAGTGGATCGGGGTTCAAGAGGTCAGCTGTGTAGCAACTCATGTCTGAAAGTTGTGTTCAAGGTGTTTCGTAGTTGTTGACCTCTTCTAAATGGATTTTACGTCGTGGTTTTCGAATATGGGATTCATGAAAGCTGACCCACAATGTCTGATTTCCTTACAATTAATCGAACCTTTATTTATTGCGATCAACCTTGCCGGAAAGTCCGCGCACAAACGGTTGCTTTAAAATTAAACGGTATAACTAACAAAAATTATTGTTTTCTTCTTTGTTACACAATTTTAAATATTTCGCTTAAATAAAATTTTGGAAAAAAAAATTAATATAAATAAGACAAGGAAATACGATTATACGTAAATTTGCATTATTACAAAATAGATGGCGAGCATGGCGAGAGTCGGCGGGACGGTACGGCAACTCGGGCGTTACCAGAATATTCGGAAACCCTGCTTTTGATCAAGGTCGTTGGTTTCGGAACGTCATAAAAAAATAAAGATGCTTTTCAATCGTAATCCTGTATGCAATTTTCCACGATTTATTTTGAAATTTACTCTCAGTCAACAATCATTCACTTCGTACAATGTTAGAGTGAGACACTAAAACTTTCTAACTGTTTTACGCATGATAGATTGTGGTTTACGCTTAATTGCCCTATGTCTACACCCGTAAACTTTTTTTCTGGTAGCGCTTGGAAACTGGCGTTTTCGTGGCTTGACGCTTAATGCCCCCGGCTGTCTTATGCAGATGATCGACTTGTACGGTGTAATAGGTCCTACGGCTACCTCTGGCGACCTAACCCCCACTATGTTCAACTATGGCTGCGAATCTGTTCTACTAATAGGATTCATTTCTTTTCACCAACCACATCTCTGGAAAACAGTGTGCCAGTAACCTCGAGTTCTGCCAGAAACCCTAGCAATTGCCATGCTGCGTAAGACCCTAATAACGAAATGGATCATATTCAGCAAGATGGACACGTATACCCCATTAATGTTGGCTTTTGGTGCGACAAACTGGTGCTTCTCATTTGTTTTTACAAGACAATACGTAATACAAAACTAGTCCCGCGAAAAATTCAAAAATAGAAAAAATATACTCGAGGGCTACCGTTACCTTTACAAATTATTGGACAGCATCTCAACAAAAGGCACAGAAATGATTATCTATTTAAGGATCGCTGCATACGCGTCTCTCCTAATCTTGGACCCAACTAACTAGTATTTTTATTTCCCTCAGGTGATCCAAGTGGATTCACAGGAGATGTTATGAATGCTCTCAGACAATTCTAATAAAAGGGTTTTGCAGATTTGAAATATTGTATGGATATACTAACAATGTTTTAAGAAGATCTGAGACGGTGGCAAGAGGACCGTAAACAGATCGCTAAAAGATGTTAATAAAGGCTCCAAAGATTCCAAGATTAGAAGATTCCAATATTAAAAAATTTCAAGATTCCGAGATTACGAAATTCCGAGATTCCGAGATTCCAAAATTTCAGGATTCTAAGATTCCGAGATACCAGGATTCCAGGATGGATTATAAAGATCCAGCGATCCAGAGATTCCGAGATCCGAAGATCCGAAGATCCAAAGATGCAAAGATGCAAACATCCAAAGATCAAAAGATCAAAAGATCAAAAGATCAAAAGATCTAAAGATCCAAAGATCCAAACATTCCAAGATTCCAAGACTCCCAACGTTCCAAGATCCCACGTTTTCACGATTCCAAGAATCCAGATCCAGTCCAAGCAAAAATTTAAGAGTCTATGATTCGGGGATTCTGAGATCCTGAAATCCTGAGATCCTGATTTCCTGAGTTACTGAGATTCTGAGTTACTGAGTTACTGAAATCCTGAGATCCTGAGATCCCTAAATCCCGAGATCCCGAGAACTTGAGATCCTGAGATACTGAGATCGTGAGATCGTGAAATCGAGAGTTCGTGAGACCGTGAGGTCGTGAGATCGACCCTGCGATCCTGACATCCTGAAATTGGGAGATTCCGACCTTCCGAGATTCCGGGATTTCGGGCTTTCAGGATATTGGAATTCCGAGATTTATAAAGATTCTCAGAAATTCCTGAGTTCCTGAGGAGATTGTGCTAAGACTGTTCTAAAAAATTCCAAGAAGGTTGCAAGAACTTTCTAAATAAATTTTTATAAAAGACTTAGTGTTGTAAGGTTTCTAAAATTTTTAAAATTCCAGCGGTTATAATTAACTTCTAGGACAATCCGAATAAAGTTCTACAAAGTCTAAGAGAAAGTTGCAAGTAGATTTCATGAATATTCTAAGATTCTAAAGTAATCTGAAAAAAAAATTGTTGCGTAACTGCATCATGGGGAGGTTTTATTTGGTATCGGCACCTACAGTAATATTTTGGGTCACCCTATATGTATTTAATTCAATTTATTTTTGGCGTTAAACTTAGAATGAACACAAATTCGATCATGTTAGTCGAATTTGAAGCCTATGATATTTTTTTGTTAAGATTTATTTAGTAATGGAAAACTTTTGTATAAATAATCGCTTTGTTTGTTTTTTGTAAAGCTGAATTACGTGTGAAAAGATGAAGCTTGGACAATTGGAAATAATTGCATGTTATTTTATGGTTTACCTCCGGTCAGTGCGATAAGGTTTCGTTATCGCCGCTGGAAGGGAAATTGTTTTAAATATGAGATACGGAAATTAATCGTGGCTGCTTGTTTGGTGGTAGACGTTAATCGTTAATTATTTGGTTTGGTGGACGTTGAGACGTAGCCGCTCATTGTTAAGGTGGTTGGCAATTTTTCCGTATTTGAGCGAACTATTGCAGGACATTTCGTCTTCCCAAGGTTGGCTGAACAATCGAAGAGATCTTTATTACGCCGTTCAAAGTAAATGTTTAAGTGGAATTAAAGAAGTGAAGGACTTAGTCGGAGTGTTTTGTTTATTGAGCAGTTAAAGGCATTTCTTTAAGATGTTCATTTATCAGTTAAAGGGAGTTTTTCCACCATCAAAGAGCCAATATTACATCTGTAATTACAACAAACCCAGTATCGTCTAAATAGAAATTTAAGTGAAATTAAAGAGGTAACTCTCAGAAGATAATAGAAAAGAAGATAGCTAAAAGATTTTAAGAAACAACAAAGTATGTAAAGGCTCTACCCATAATTCTATAAAAATTCTAGAAGTTCCAAAATCAAAGGATATAGTAGAAAGGTTCAACAAAGCCTGGGAGTAGTTTATATGATCTTAACAATATATGATATCTAAGATTCTAAAAAGATTCTAAAAAATCCCCCAAGATTCATAGATGACTCTAAGTATACTAGAATGTTCTAAGGAGAACATGAGCGAGAGTACAGGTCCAAAGAGGATTCCAAGAAGATTTTATGGACTGGAGAAAATCGCTAAAACACACACGGTAACTTTCCACAACTGAGTGACAAAAAATCATTCAAATAATTGCAGTTCCTTACAAATTTTGAGGTAGTTCCAATTTCTGGCCTTCTTTGAGGTAGTGGAATGACTGAATTAATGTAGTTGTAAACGTTACAAAAGATTCAAATTTTCCATTTCTCATCGACAATTCAAAGCCGCCGTCTCGCAACATTCTGAGCAAAAAGATTAAACAATAAAATGTTATGCGAAAGTTATCCCATTTAATATTCCCATTTGAATCTGAAACACCTCAAGATCAAAGGAAATTAAGAAACTCTCCTTTCCATTGTGAGAAGCCACATTATACAATTGAAATTCTCTAGTCGAGATTTCCCTCTCTGAAATTCTAAAGTTCGTAGCTCATATGGATTCATTTAGTTTATATTAGCTTTAAAAGTAGGTGGTAGAGGTTGGAAGAGAATGGCTTTTGTATTCTCTCTCTTCATCAGCTTCTACCCAGATTTACTCTCCGAAACACACTATTTAAGTAAAGTTTCGTGTACTTATTAAAATTTGAAAATCGGATTTGGTGTTTACATTGTTCTTTTGCTAAAAGTAATTAGAGTAGTATACAGAAATGGGGACGCTTTGCACCTTTCGGCGTGTTAAAGACCGTAATGCAGCAAGCCTAATTATTATTATAACTCCCCTCTAACACGCATTGCACTTCTATTCGCCTTTTCCCTGGGGTTACACTTCATTCGTGGGGCGGATTTCATTTACCTACCGTCGTATTATTTTTCGAGCCCAATTTTAACTTTAGCGATTAAGTTGATCAAAACGTGTGACGGAGGCATCTGTTCGCATGTCTACAATCAGTCAGAAATATTGATACATAATGCTTAAACACGGAAAAAATTAATAATGTAATTGCTCGGTACGTACAACGCTTAATCCCGTTTAATATCGCGTCTGTACTTTTTTAATTATCCTAGCAAAAATTAATTCCATTATTAAATTCCCCAGGTAATCTATTAAACGCCGATTGGAATTCACCCCTTCATGTTCTTGTTTTCCATATCTACAACGTTGCACCAGAAAATAGCCAATTGGAATTTTTATTACATTTTTTAGGGCGGGTTTAATTTTGCACAGTACAACGGAGCTTTTCAATCGTGACGTGGCCAGTAATAAATTTACAAGGTGAATTTCATTTAGATCGACTGTATTTCAATTAATACATAATATGAATCACAGTCGTTATTATGAAGCTTTATATGAATCAAGAATCCAAGCTATTTTGTCTAGATTCTAACTTACCACCTTCGAAAACGTTCTATCTAAGAAGCTTTTTGGGAATATTTATATGGTAATTCAAAAAATAATGTTTTCAAGAAGAATTCTAGGATAAGCCGTTAGCGGATCTAATATTTTGAAGAAGTTCTTAGAAAGGTCTAGTCAAAAAATTCCTAAGAGGATTTATAATATTTTCAAATAGCTCATAGGAAGACTTGTTTAACGTTTCCCAAAATTACAAATAACGTTTCCAACTATCCAAGAAAAGTACTAGGAAAATTTTATAAATGTAAGAAGATTCCTAACGGGGTTTTAAAAAAATGAAATGTGCTTGTGACCCAAATTTATACGGTTTTAAAAAAACCTCAAAAAAATGTTTTCTGGAAAGGGAACTCTTCATTTTTCCTATTTAAGCAGAAACCAACTCCTCTAATAAAATCAACATCCCGACAGAAAAACTCCTCTACGCCGCCAAAACTGATAAAACGCCTGCATCGTTTATCCATTGTTTGTAAGAAAAACAATTCATTCTTGTCCTGTCTTTTTATCAACACCTGACCAGATAAAACGTTAAACTCGCGTAAAAGTTTCCCTTTCAAATTTATCATTAATATCAAAATATTATATTTATGAATTTAATAAAAGGTTACAACATTAACATATTGCAAATTGTTTAAAAACATTAAAAAAAAAATTTAAAAAAAATTTACCGTATACCTACTTAAAATAATTATAAAAAATTTCATTAAATGCTGTCTGTTGCGGTAGAGTGCCTAAAATACAAGCCGCATTTCCTTGCTGAGCAGCCAAACTGAATCTTTGTTTTAAAAAT